GTATTGGGGATTGTCTCATTTGCATAACCGATTTTGGTTTCATAAAAGCCTACTACTTTCATGTGAATATGAAATAAGTTATATTACAGACCATCGACATATTTCTACTTTCGTGATAAATTCTAACTTGGTAAAACGAAATTAGGGGATCAGAAATATAACACGAACACATTTTAACTGGTATCTGAATCTACTGGAAATATTTGCAATAATATACTTTCTAACACTGCCGTAAACAAATGTAAAAACACCAACGTATTGAGAGTAGCCGTATTACTTGATTGTTAGTCATAATGTCCAAAGCTGTGTTGACCATTCAAATTACCAAGATTTGTGTTAAACATTAATACCGAAGATTATTACATTGTTTATCTCCTGTGGTTGATGGAGTATATATAAATATCAACACAGTCTTCGCGAATATTGTAGTACATACTTGTATTTTTTTCTTCAACAAACTGAATTTAATAAAGCAATCATTTGGCTGCGCGTAACTCTACTAATCCTAACCTTAACAAGTTGTACTCTCATCACGTATTTGCCAGACATGTTGGCTCCCTATAGCGTCATTTAACATATTTCTAGAGCTTATAATGAAAAAAAAGTGTCATCTCTTACGTGACACTCAATAGACAGCCACACACAGAATACGTACGCCCTCAAACAGTGTTACACACATGTGCCACACCTCGACATAACTGCAGATGATATGAAAATCTGATTACGTAAGAGCGTGCGCGTAGGAACCAATTACGAACAAATCTACAAGCTGTTGATGTAACTGATCAGAATTACACGCACACCGGAAACCACAGTTATTTTGCTGAATTTGTTCGTAGTTTGTATCACATCATGTGTTGTGAAGAGACAAGAGAACATTAACATTATATATATAATATAATATACATCAATATGAACGCAGTTACTCAAACATTGTCTTTACATTCATATGAATGTAACAAAGGTTTTTGCATTGAACATTCTACATTTTAAAATTCAATTGGAATGATTTTCACATTAATCGAAACGTGACAAAAAAAGGTTTGGACAGAACAAATGAATGCATCGGCCAATATACATTATTCCCACGAAAAAATAGTGTAGATTAATATTAATACTATACGGTGTTTTAAATATTTATGTTAGACATGAATTATGCAAATATTGAACCCTTAACAATTTATAAATATATGAATGGCCTATTGTAGTAATTTAGAACTGTAAGACCACTAATTTATCATTTTGACAGAAAAGTCTTTTCCCAAATATCAACTTCCTCAAATGAATTAAATCAAGGTCAAATGGAAGTCCACCTATTACGGTTTCTGGATGGATTTGTGCAATAGCGAACATTTATTGCGATCTTCAATAGACCTTATACCTGTAAATTTTTAATAACGTTGAAAACATGTTGTCTGTTCGTAAATTATGTAAAATAAAAACCAACTGTGATTTTCGAGTCGCATCACAAAATAGAAGAGATATCAGCCCAGGTATACGAGGCAAACTGTTTATTAATGATATGGTAAAATACAGTATGTATATAGGTCGTCTGTATGATGTCTATTGGATTTTGTTCTGGGTTATGTTATTTTTTCAACACGAAAAAACCCACCTTCATAATATCACAAGTAATTACTCCAAATGTCAGTAAATTTATTTTATTTCAAGCGTGTAGTGATTCTAATAGGAGCAGATAAAAGGTAGAGTTTGTTACCCCTTTATATCATTGAAAGAATACTATACCATAAAGATTTAATTGCATAATATGTCTGCAAGTCATCCGTATAATGTCTGTCAGATTGTGTTCTCGGACGTCAGTTGTTCTAATAATGAAAAAAGTCCCCTTTATAATATCACTAGTGAATATTTCACATGAAATAAAAAAAAAACGTACAATATATCTAATTAGTTGCTCGACTTGTTGCCATAGTAATATAGTTTATTATTGATAGAAGCGGTTTATACTTTTTCATCCTGTGAAGGAGCAAAATGAATTATTCGTGATTGTAACTAAACTTATAATAACGGATTGATCGCACCACTATTTGTGTATATATTATTCATTACGTACTGACGGGTTACGTGTTTTCTATTCCTAATTATACGTTCACTCAAACAAATAACACCGGGAAACAAAATACTGTATGTCATAATGTTGTATACCTCATAACGCTTCATGTAACAGACTTTAAAAAAACAAATGGCCGCTCAAATCTCGTTGTGAGCGAGAAAGGAACGAGACTTATTTGTGCCCATCGAATAATGTTTCATTTTTTGTCCTTTCGCGACCACTGTTCCCCTGATCTTGATAATAACCAAGCGACGACGGCAGAGAATGAAACTGTAATTGATTAACAACAACAAGTGTGGTGGTTGTCTGTACAAAATGCAATGATCTTCTCTGTACGTATAATCGTTGTATACGTATACATTTATACTCAATATATTTGATTGGAACTGTCAACTGTCATACTTGCCGACTTGTACATCTTGAAGTATCTGGTACATCCTTAAACCTTACCGTCGACATTTCAGTCAATTACTAGTATTCATTCTCTAGGAGGCTGGGGAATATTATATACAATTTTAAAATGTTGAGATGTCTGTGAATATACGTTTTACATGACTGTCGCGTATTTTGAGCCATTCCAGTTGCATTTATTGAACTTCATTACACTCTAAAATGTTTCATTATGTATGCATGTGTTTTATAAATGATGGAAAATTATGCTGAATGGCCGATGGAAGGCGATTTTAGCCACTCATAATTTTTTGAGTTTCTGCACAACTAACCAGAGAATACCCATGATTCTCAACTTCATTTTATATTAAAAATATTAAAACTTTGATTGTTCCGTCCGTCGAATATATTGATTTAGCTATGCAATATAGACTATAGACGCCAATTTCGTTTATATGTGTATATTACGTCAGAAAGCACCTGGAAACGTGCATAATACCGTGTAACACGTTTTGGATATTTTTATCTATTTCGCCGCCGTCTTCATAACATAACATTCAGTAATTTCGGAAAATATCGCATATACTAGACAGAAATTGAAGTATGTTTGTTTTTCTTACAGTTATATTGAGGTGAACTTGCTTTCCCGTTGCGCTTGCATCACGTTTGGTAATTAAAATCAATCTACTGAATAGTTTTAAATGATTGTTTACAAGAAAAAACGTGAATTGATCAAGCATAAGCAAACGGACATACATACGGAAAGATACACAATTCTCGAGGCAAAGCAGCAAGCAACGGTGCATACGTTACCTCATGTGTGTGATATAATTCCATTCCAAGCCAAGCAACGTCGCCTGAAAAAAAAACGACCTGTCGAGTCACCCGTCACAGATAGTTGCCGTGTGTGTCCAACAGCGTCTTCCGTTGCCTAATGCGTTGCTCGGTGCGTTAATGAACGGATATCTATCATGTCCAACATGCACATATATATATCAGTCGTGTCCCCAGAGTATATTTATTTGCAACAAAGTTCAATAAATTTTATTAAGTACAGATAAACATTATAAATAATCTTAGCCAATTGCCGTTTTTTTCACAAGGGAAGATTAACCGGGATCAAAAATCTGATTGCTTGCGCACTCAACAAATTCATTACTTTTATAAAAATACATTTCAGTTTTAGTAAATAAAGCTTTCAGAAAATATGTCGGCCGGCAGCGACGGGCTTTATCTTCCACGTGATATACTGTATAGTAACTCTCCACGAATCGGAATGATGATGTTCAACCAATTCGTTAAAGTTCATTGCTCAGTTGTATCACCTGGAAGTTAAATGACACGCCAGCTGCCACCACCACAATCAAGCAAGGAAGCGCATGAGCTGAGAACAGAACAAAACAAAACATTATACGTTTCAATAATTATACAAAAAAAGAGCCTGCAGTTTTGAGACATGTGCCTGGACAATTTGACTTCACAGTGCAAACAAACCCGGATATAGCGACAAGCGGGTAGATACTGGAGAGCCACAAATAATACTTAAAAAAAATAAAAAAAAATAAAAGTAAAACGACAGAAGACCCCTGCGGAAAAAATATGAAGCAAACAATGGAGCGAGATGCAGTTAACTAACCAGTTTTTCACCGATGTAATTTCAAATTTTTCGTTCGATTCAAACGCAAGAGGAGTGTTTGACTACCTTACGTATCATTAGTAACGAAGCCAAACAAATTTCCAAATCCACGTTCCATGTTATGAAAAAAGGGTTTGGATATAAAAAAACACGCTATGTTCAGCAATCACACACTGCGAGCGACACAGGGCTGAATGCGTTTGTATCAACATTCAGAATTTCAATATTGAGGAGAGCACCATATTTTAATCATTGTCACATATCTCGCAGGCCCTTTTCCAATTTTACAAATATATAAATACAAATGTTCTCAAACAACAAAAGCTAAAACATCGTTCTTCGGCATGTGACGCATACCCCCATTCAATGATTCTGTTTTATTTCAAAAAAAAAACATCGTAACCCAAAATTCGAAAATTGCGCTCGCTGGTAATTAAGGTAAGGTCTTCTCTCCCGTAATATAATTACTCCAACGCAATAATATGTAAATAGTAAAACTGTTGAGTGTATAATGTGCGTGTGATCTATCAAGTTCGTTCACTGTTTTATTCATTGAAGACTTAAAGTGTCAGCTTAACCACAAGCGGATGATGTCATAGTAAGAGCGAGAACACATACATGGCAATGATCGTCTCCCTACACCAAGTATAATGTTGCGTTCCAGGCGCCATTGACCGGGCAATTTACGCTATTGACCCGGACAATTCTAATAGTCAGGCAGAGTTTTCCATATTCTCACTGTCACATACGTCCAAACAGCGGCGAAACTCAAGGGAATGATATATTTGCGATGATCTTTCTTTTTCATATATTCCACATTACAATTGTCTCGCGCAGGGTTACAATGGGTCTTGCGAACGCATTCACTTATCAGATGAGGCCCAGTCAATTTTGATATGGCTGGATTAGATACTTGTACCAGTAGACGATGTTGAATGTAATAAATGAAGCCGGGAAAAAGACCCTACAAACATGGTCAATCATAATGGCACGGTCCATGAAGTCTTTTCTTTTCGATGGGTTTAACCGGAACCCAGTTTCTTCAACACTGCTCTGCCACGTTGCGAAGGTCCTTGCATCCTTGAACCGTGGAAATAACCATTGCTCCAAGGATTGTCCTGAAAAATAAAAATTGTAGACTGTTTGAATTCAAAGTATTTTTTACAAAGAAGACGACCGCAATTTCTCTTCCTTGTGAGAAAAGAAATACGACTGAACATTTACCAAACAAGGTTTTCGAGTAATTTAACTAAAGTAAATAAGTTTTATTTGAGGTGGAGGGAACGAGAGAATTGGTTTTAAGTGACGATAACAACGCAAAGCCTCAATGGGTAGACTCATATTTGTAACCAACGCAATGGCCTCACGCGCAGGTGCCGACTTACAATTTACAAGATAATTTTTAAAAGGCCACCAGGAAATGTTAACATATATACATTTATTATCACAATGCAATTGAAACTCGTATAAGTACATGCACAACTTTTGAAATACTGTAAAATGACTAATTTTCACTGGGTTTAAATTTCACTGATTTACCATTTCAGGCATATTCAGTGGGTTTTAAATTCACGGTTTCGTTATTTGGATAATGTGTTCTATGCTAAATATTACATATTCACTGTGTTTTAATTTAGCGCATTTTTCCAGTCAGCGAAATAAGCTAAATTAAAACCCAGTGAATAATTACCCCCTTTACAGTATATGTGCTGGCATGTTGAGTTGGATATTATTTTGGAACATTTCGATTTTATTCATAATTACTAACATGATATGCATATGGTGTAATTTAAAAGTTCATTTTTATATTTTTATATTATTCTGTATGAGAATGATTATGGTGATCCCATATTCCCAAGTCAATAATAAGATTCCCTTGAGTGAATACTTTACCTTCACTGTCATACCACTTTTAACAGCCTTTCGCGACGCCCTTTTCATTCTTTGTAATTGATATTGCCCTTGCTCCCACGAGTGCATGTAATATACCAGGGCGAATTCTATTAAGGTTGCAAACACGAACACTTGACAACTGACGAGCCACACGTCTATAGCCTGTGATGAAACAAATGGCAAACTGATTAAACACTCGGAAACAAAACAGAATCCTGCGCGAATTGATGTGTTCGTGAGTTATTGGTTCTCATTTCAATAAAACCTACATTAGCAATAGATTTATTCACCATCTGTTAACCGCTTCTAAACGTGCAACAATCTTAATTGACCACGTTGTCCGTAACCCTTTCTCGACCTGTCGGTGAACCTCAATGACATTTGGGATTACCGAACAACATTTAATCAATGGACTCCTCTGCGCATCGTGACAATGTTTGAATTAAAATAATCGTGAAATCTCCAAGGGAGGTTAGTATATCATATATATAAATTAAATGTTTTGGGTTTTAGAAAAAAAAAAAAGTCTATCCACCGTGGTTTACTCATAGTATCGCCTCCGGCAGCACAGACGTAAAAGCATTACACATGGACATTACCCGTTCAATTGTTTGATTGGAAGATTAAATGACAGACGTTGATCTGGATTATATAAATCTCGCTTTTGACAGACTTATTGGAGGGGGAGGGTTTTGATTTCATGTCCAGGAGCTTGTGCACATTAAATTCAACAACATTTGTATTTAGTACAACAATAATAAGACTGGGGTAACTGTGTAAAATGTGTTTCATTCATGCTATGTTTTAAGATAAAATTATAATTTCTGTTTGAGTTACATGTTTATGGATCATTCTCTGTATGTCACACACAAATTTAATTCTCAAAAAAAAAAGCACGCACGGATAATCTACAAATACTGTCATTGTCGGCAACCAGTAATCAAGATCTTCTTTTTTTTACAATTTTGAACCTATCACTGCATCTCTGAACATAATGAACATTTTGAATAAACAAATATTTTGGAATACAGAAATGTGCATATATAGTTAAATAACGCAAATAATTTGAATACACTGTTCGAACTAGCGTCAATACTAAAACTGTACAATCAATAATTCAATCTTGAGGTGTGGTGCAGTTACGATTACGAGATTCTACTTTGATATGTTCCGACTATATAAATAATTAAAGCACGTACCGTCACATATGCTATCTTAGGCACTGATTGCGCATCCATGTGCCTTGGGTAACCAAAGCTAGCACTGTGGTAATACCCAAGGATACACGTGCTGGCGCTGACGTAATCTCCATCCATAGCGCCAACCAAGACAGCACGACAAGCAACAGACTGGGTATGTAAGCCTGTAGAACGTAGAATCCAATTCGACGAACCAATCGAAACTTCACTTCAACCTGACCATAGTTTCCTGGAATACACATTAAGTATCTAAGTATGCGCTCAAAGGGTGTAATTCTTATTATCTAACACAATTAGTTTTGCAAGGAATGCCAGGGACATTTGTATTATATATTGTTAAATCTATGTATACGGGGGTGTGGTGGGTCTTGTGATAACAACTCATATAACATGTCTTTATTTGCGAAAATCACAAATGTAACATGCTTGAAGATATCGTGTAATAATAGTGTTCGAGTTTGCATTGGATTTGTTTATGATTTTAGACACAAAAAGCCACAGAGTTATCATTGAGAGCGAGAGAGCTACGAGACTTAAG